GGGGGACTGCTCCGCTCCCCCGCATCAGGGCCAGGGAGTGCAGCACTTCCCTGGAGCCGGCAGAGCCCGCACCAGCCCCCTGCCCCAGGCTCCCTCCCTGCCTTTCCCCCACCCAGAGGGGATCAATATAGTCATATAGCTGGCTCCGGGACACTGCTCCGCTCCCTGGCCCTGATGCCACATGCCTCCTCGCTTCCCGAGGCGATGCAGGGAAGCGGAGTAGTGTCCCGGAGCCGGCAGAGCCTCACTCAAGGCAGGCAGCAGCTCCTCCCCAAGGTGAGGCAAGACAGGGATGGAGGCTGGGGCGGGGGGCTGGTGCAGGCTCCTCTGGCTCTGGGGAAGTGCTGCGCTCCCCGGCCCTGATGCGGGGGAGCGGAGCAGTTCCCTGGAGCCAGCAAAGCCCGTGTCAGGTTCCCGCCCCCACCTCGCCTAGGGGCTGACCTTCAGCTCCTCTCCTGGTGCACGACTTTGAAAAGGCTGTGCGCGGTCACACTTTCAGTTGTGCACAGCCACACATACGCACACCTTAAGAGGGAACCTTGCACCTCCTGCTCCCTCCCAGCCCCCTGCAGGCTGGAGCTCTGCCAGCCTGCAGAGGGCTCTTAGCAAAACTGCAAAATCTGCGGGTTTTGATGTTGCAATGAGAAATCTGCAGTTTCCTCCGGTAAAGGGGAAAATCAACATTTTACTCCGTTTTGCCGTGGGAAACAGAAAACCCGGATCCCTGCTAATAACACTGAAGTCGCGGGTTCAATCCCCAGGTGGACTAGATGATCTGTTAGGGTCCCTTCCAGTCTTACTTCTCTATAATTGAGTGATTGGTCCTCTTTCTAATTGCCCTTCAGGTATTTGAAGATAGTTATCAAATCACCCCCTGCATTCTCTTTTCCAGACTAAACAGTCTTCGTTCTTTAAGCCTATCATCATAAGTCTTATTTCCCAAGCCTCTAATCATTTTTTTCATTCTCTACTGGGCTTTTCTGCCCTAGTCATCTCTTCCTTGAAGTGTGGGACCCAAACCTGAACACAGTAGTCCAGCTGAGGCCCCACCAGTGCTGAATAGAGCGAGAGAATCACTTTCCTTGATTTGCAAGAGATACTCATGTTAATACAACCCAATATGCTGTTGACTTTTTTTTTTCCCCACAGTTTCATCACACCTGCAGTTCAGAGTCAGCCTCTGATCAACTAGTACACATCCATGTCGTTCTTCACCGCACCTCATTTCCATCTGATGAGTTCCATTTGATGAGCTCCACGTCTTGCTTACAGCTGAAGTCTTGCTATTAGCCTCCAAGTGCATGACCTTATGTTCTGTACTACTGACTTTCATTTCTTTTCTATTAAACCAGTCCCCAAAATCATACGTTTCGTTTTGTATGACATTTTAATCCTCCTCTGCACTGACATCTCTGTATCTTCAGGAAATTTCATCAGTACGCTCCCACTTTTAGTGTCAAGGTCACTATTGAAGATAGGTCCAAAAACTATGCTTGAGGAACTCCACTAGTAACCTCCCTTCCAGCCTAATAGTTCCCTTTTAAACACTATTCATTAGTCAGCTTCTTCGTTATTTTATAATCCACTAACTACCTTACAATCCATCAACATCTTCTCCAGCTTCACTAATAATTTCTCATGTGGTACCAGAGCTGATGCTTGCCAGAATTCTGGACACATTATATCTATTGCTTTTTTTGGGCTAAAAATTAGTTAACAGATATCAGCTACCTTTGGAAACTCCATACTGCATTTTATCCTATTTTCCATCCACCTCCATGTTCTCATTAGTCTCCTTTTGACATTTGTTCTAAATCTGTGCACAGTATCAAAATAAGGTTAACAGGCTTCTATTAGCCTGCATGATTCCCCCTACCCCACCTTCTTAAATGTAACGGCTATATTTGCTATTCTGCAATCATATAGCATTGCTCCCAACTTAATAACTTTATTAAAGTACTGGTTACCAGACCTACAATTTCACGTCGGTTCTTTCAGAATTGGGGGATGAAGATCATCTTGTCTTCCTTAATGAATGCAGTAAGCTCTTTGCATCTCACCTCAGTTATGATTATTTCCATTTCCACACTTTCATTCCCATTATGCATTTTGCCTTTTCACCAGTGTTCAGTAGCATCCTCTTTATTGACAACCGGGTCAGGTATTATTTTCAGACCATACTTAAATATCCTTAATTGCTACACCATGGGACCCCAATGTTTTCCCTTTTCTATTTTTATTTGTATAGTTGAAGAATGTATTGATACTTACTTTAATATCATTCATCAAGGTCTAACACAGCTTAACTTTTGTTATTTCTCACTCAGTTTATTTCTACACTTTTTCAATTCTTGTTAAATAGTTTGGCACCATAACACCAATTTTCTCTAATAACAAAGGCTCACTTCTTATAAGTGCCACAGAAGAAATGAGGTCTTCAACAGGCTTTAAGTGAAGATACATGAGTGGTTTTAACACTTCGTTTATGCTGTGCACTTTCCACTTGCAAAGAAGGTAGTAACCAGCTATCAAAAAAAAAAAGTTCAGGAAAGGTAGAGAAACAACTAAAGCAGCTCTTGCTTGGCCAGGGGGAGATAAAGGAAGGAAGCAGACTGCTGGAGTTAATATACAGTAATTTTCCCTGCTTTTTATTTCTTTGTTTCCATTTCCTTTTCTTTTCTCTTTTCCTCTTTTCATCAGAATTGTTATAATGGTAGAAGTGAATTGAATAAAGGACTATTCTAAATTGTTGAAAAATTATGTTCACAGTGAATTCAATCTCCTTTGAGTAAAAGAACTAAGGTTACAACATCAAAATAAGACGTGTTTAGAATGTGTTAAAGGAACTATTATGAAATTTCTAGGAAAATATCAACTTAACAGGTGCCTGCCATTTCTTTTCTTTTTTTTTTAACTTGATTAACTGATCCCACTTATAAAATAAGGCAGCCAATACTCCGAGATGCATCCAATCCCTCAAAATACACACAAAGGCAAATAAAAATCTCCTACAAACAGCACTACTACAATCCTGAGGGGTTGCGGGCATGGATGAGCACTCTGTCCACATTCGCAGATGACATGAAATTATGGGGTACAGTAAACACACCAGTGGGAAGGGTTTGAATCCAGGTGGACCTGGATAGGTTGGAAAAGTGGGCAGAAAAGAATAGGATGCAGTTTAACAAAGACAAGTGCAAAGTGCTACATCCAGGGAGAAGCAGCAGCTTCTTTTTTTTTTTTTTTTTTATACAGATTCCAAAAATTTCTACCAGATTTCCAAGTAAACTTCTTCTTGCCTTCTCTCTTGTACAACACTGATTTGATGGGGCAACACTTCCATTACTAAGCTATTGTTGTAATGGGGTGGGGGTAAAACTTCCCAAATTTTAAGTCAGTCAGAGATTGTAGGGGTGTAAACTTCTCTTCCAGGCTTTTTTGCAACCGCTGGAAGATGAGTGATCAATTCCTGTGGCGCTTATGTGCTAAGTTCTCAGGAAGGTTAAAAAAAAGAACACCAAGATGTTATGTGATATTTGGCATCCAGTTATTTCCCTCATCATGTTTTCAAGTTTCTTCCAGAACAGCTTAATTCTGGACCGTGTCTACCACATAGGACAGAATCCTCCCAGGTGACCACAGTCCCTCCAACATCTGCCTGTTCCTATACCATAAATGCATTTAATGTTAAGTGGGGTGTTAATACCATTGATATAGGATTTTCAAATACTTTTCTGTTATTATCTTGCAAGTACAAGGACCATTGTGCCAGATGGTCTCCAATTCTTCAATACCAATTTCTGACACAACGTCAGGAGCCCACTTTGTCATAAGGCTTTTTTCCTTCTACATGGCTATTTAAAATTGCTTTTTGTAACACAGACAATAGGCCAGTGTGTTGTTTCAACTGTGTGACCAATATTTTCTCAGGTTTCTACTGAGATTTAACTTTCTTTGGAAGCATGTTGAAAAGGGTCTCAATTGCAGGTATTGGAAAAATAGGATTTTAATATTATCTGCAGTATGTTGTGTTTTTTCAAAAGATCTAAATATATTTTCTTGAAATAACTGTCCAAACTGTATGATGTCAATCTATTCCTACATATTAAAGCTCCCTAAATAAATTATTAGGATTAAATTCAATATTGTTATGTATAGGAACTAAATGCAATGGGTATGAGCGTAACTTCTTACATCTGTCATCCCAGATTTTCATTCTTGTTCTCATAAAGGAGTGATTATATATTGAATTTGGCCTGGAAGATTTCTTTAGCCATGGTGATGTTAAGTTTGACTGTTGAACAGTATGTTCACTCCATCTTTACTCAGTGCTCACTGTGAACTGGTGTTAGTCAATATACCAAATTTCTGAAGTTGGACAGTTTGGTAGCGATATTTAATGTTTGGAAGCATCAGTCCTCCCTTTTTGCAGGAGGAAATTTTTAAATTTAGTTTCTCATTTCCCCCCCAAAAAAGTATTTATCATAGTCTGCCACTCAGCTAAGATATTTCTTGGCACTATAGAAGGTAGAGCTTGGAATAAAAAATTAATTTGAGATAAAATATTCATTCTGACTGCTGCAATTCTACCTAACCGTGCAAATTTATAATTTGAGCAGTTTTCTAAGTCTACTTTGCTTGTCTGAATCAAAGGTATATAATTAGAACTGTACAAACCCTGCCATTTTTAGTCATATTCACCCCTAAGTATTTTAATAAAACAGTTACCCCCATGTTATTTCTAAAACATAAGACACTCAATCCTGCAGTGCACAAACAACAATGACCTGGTATCCTAAAATAAATTTTGCTGGAAGAAAACTGCAGCCAAAATAAATTAAACCGAGAAACTCTTGAGACTCAAACAAGCCTCTTCAGAGAAACAAACAAATGAAAATTAGGTTCTTGGAAGCTAGACAGAGATTTTAAAACGGGGATACATGAAAACACTGAGAGAATAAAAATCACAGTATGAACTTTTTAATGCTTCAAGCACTTACCGCTGACATTCGCCAGCATGTAGAACTAAGTCTTCATTGTTTCTAGCACTAATAGTAAGTTCATGTTCTGTTGAGTTGAAGACATCAAGGAGGAGGTGGCATTGCCGTGTGCTGTTTGAATAGTGAAAAATAGAGGAAGATTATAGTAAGTATATTAGTAACACATTGAGCATTAGTTACTATATTACATTATGGAATTAATGAGACACACATAAGTGGCTTATCATCTATTTCAATTATAATAATACTTTAATTATCTTCCATTGGGAATTAAATGTGCTTAAATTCCACTGAAGATAAAAAGGTGCATGCACACTTGAAACAAGAGTTGAATGAAACTTCAAATCTGCATATGCTCTTGTCAAAATATGTCTAAATTTCCTCAGAAGTACAGAAAGCCCCACCTTGGTTAAGACACCATTTCTATTAAAGTGTTCAACAGAGAATAAAGACGCTAAGAACTGATTTTTGTGAATTCTCTAAACCTTCAGTTAAGACAGGTTTCACTATACATTAAGATAGCAGACAGCATCTTTTTAAGACTAAAATTAAAATAAAGAAACAATAATTTAGGTGCAGGTTGAGCAGAGAGGGGCAACTCACCATACCATATTTGTGTTGTATATAAGGTACAAAAGGTGACAACGAGAATACACTTTAATCACAGCAACTACTAAAAGACTCTTTCATGAAAGATTCTCTCTGTTCCTTCGGAAAAGGGAGCTGAGCCCCAGTGGTCAAACACAGCAGAGAATCCTACACTTTATCACCTAGTCTCCTTTGTGCCACAACTTATTCTTAGAAATCTTTCATTACAAAAATCTTTCTTGGCGAGCATGTCAGTTGCCTCTCATCGTCTCAAGGAATAATACAGATCAAGCTGCACAAAAGAACCAGTATTACACTGTAAGTTTTAATGTCATCAGGCAAGGTTTTAATCTAAGAATATTTTCTTTGGTGTCTAACTTGTCACAATCAACATTTACTGAAGATGACACTGTTATACAAAATGAGAGAATCGGAACTGATGCCAACATGCAAAATATATATTCAGAGTGCTATATGACATAAGTTATTACTATTTCCTGAAGTACAGTACCATCCATAAAAAAAAAAAAAACCCATAAAGAAATACTTGAGCATTTTTTCAAAGTATCATTATGATTTAGATTTAGCTGTAGGTAATGCTGAAGTTTACAATTGGCAACTTGTAAACATAGGCCTGTAAGCCTATCTAACTTATTTAAATGTTCATTTAGTAGTACCAATATCCAGGAAACGTGGCAATATTAAGAAACTATTTGTGTGTTATGTCAAGGTGATTGTTGTGCGTCTGGAGTATCCTCAGCAGCTCAGAGATTTCGTTCCAACTGAAGATCCCTGATATAAGAAATCATCCAAGTAATATATCATTACTTACTCATAATCATCCTTTGAGCTTCCCTTCCCCCGCATTCCCACTTGCACAGTAAAAAAGCAGGGTGCCCTACACATTGAAGGGTGGGCACGTTTTAGTTAAGGACAGACTGCTGCACAACTCCCCCACTCGGGGCAATGGAGAGCAATTCTAAACCTATGCATTTCCTCAACAGAGAATGGCATCTCAGAAAGAGCATCAGGGAGGAAATGCATGCAGAAAGATAAAAATTTACGGCTGCCTTAGGCATGAATATGAGATAGGGACTCGCAATGCTTTCTTTGCCTTATGGTTTACCTTAAGGGTTTCTACTAATGACAGCAACAAAAGGAAGATCATGGAAAGTGTGGGTCCCTTAGTGAATGGGAGAGAGAACCTAGTGACAGATGAAGCGGAAAAGGCTGAAGTGCTCAATGCCTTTTTTACCTCAGTCTTCACAGGCACGGTCAGCTCCCAGACTGCTGCACCAGGCAGCACAGTTTGGGGAGAAGATGAGCAGCCAACAGTGGCGAAAAAAACAGTTAGGGACTATTTAGAAAAGCTGGACGTGTACAAGTCCATGGGGCTGGACGTGTTGCACCTGAGGGTGTTGAGCAAGTTAGCTGATGTGTTTGTAGAGGCATTGGCCATCATCTTTGAAAACCCATGGTGACTGGGAGAAGTCCTGGCTGATTGTAAAAGGACAAACATAATGCTCATCTTTAAGAAAGGGAAGAAGGAGACTCCAGGGAACTACAGACCAAGTCAATCTCACTTCAGACCCTGGTAAAATCATGGAGCAGATCCTCAAGGAATCCATATCTAAGCACTTGGAGAAAAAAAATGATGAAGAACAGCACCATTGATTCATCAAGAGCAAGTTCTGCCTGATCAACCTGATTGCCTCCTATGATGGAATGACTGGCTCTGTGAATGCGAGAGAGCAGTGGATGCGATATACCTTAACTTTAGCAAGGCTTTTCTTGCAAGCAACCTAATGAAGTTTGGTTTGTATGAATGTACTGCAAGGTAGAGAGAAAACTGGCTGGATTGTCACGCACAAAGGGTAGTAATCAATGGCTTGATGTCTAATTGGCAGCCTGCGTCAAGTGGAGTGCCCCTGGTGTCAGTCCTGGGACCAGTTTTGTTCCATATCTTCATCAACGAAGATGGGACGGAGTGAACCCCCAGCAAGTTTGCAAATGACATCGAACTGTTGGTTCTCTGGCTACTACAGAAGGTCTTTATAACTGGCAAGTCATACTGGGCTTGCTGAAATAATGGTAAATCTTTTCATTCTGAGTTTTCTTAATGGAAGGTCAATGGAAGGGACATGATATACAAGGTGATGGAGTCAATCTGACTGAAATGAAGGAGACAGATCATCTCTTTGTGCTCTTAAGCAATGTACTTGGATTCAGTCTTTTGTTCATATCAAAGTGATTTGGCCTTGAGTAACAAATCTCATTTTGGGTTAGAGACCTGTTCACTCTCCAAGACATAAAAAGCAACAAGTCCAGGCATCATTCTCCAGTATAACTACCAATCGTGAAGGCTCCCAAGATAGCAATAAAGCTATTTATATTACATCAGGGGTGTCAAACCCATGTCTCCCCACGGGCTAGATCCAGAATTGGTGGTCAGGTGACTGGCAGCAGTGCAGGGGTTAGTGCAGCCATCACTCGTCCCCTGCTGACACATTCTAAATGAAGCTCCAGAACAGATTTCAGCAGTGGGCCCTTCCCCTGCTCTCTCCACCCCTGAATTCTTAGCGCCTGGGAGACTCATGGGCCATTCAACCTAGTTTTTTTAAAGCAGATCCTGCCTCTGGACCACACTGGCCTCACTGCACTATATTATTATTCTGTACTACTCTAAGCTAACTATGAGAAAATCCAAAGCTAGTCTCAGGGGACAGTCTAGTCCTAAGGCAAGGTGACAAGTATTGCTCATTCTCTGTGGTAGTAGGTGACAGCAAAAAACAAAAGAGGTCATTGATGAATGCACCATCTTATGTATACACACAGATGAGAGCAAAGCTGCCAATGAGCAGATTCAGTGCATGCCGTTTGAACACGGGTTCTCAACAGCTCCACTGCCAAGGACAATCACTGGTTTCCCAAGTGATAACGAAGAGTCCCTCAAAAACAGACTTTACATTGTATCAGAGAATCATTTACACGTTAGAGACCATGCCAAAAGAATCGCTCATTTTTCTGCCTTTCAAAGTGAATAGTGATGCTTTAAGTACAGAAAATAAATTGTAGCAAATTTCAAAGAAATCAGGATGAAGACAGAACTATTAAATCATAGAGTGAGTTTGTGACAAAGCAGAAGGGATGCCCGACAGGATCTTGTGACCTGAATGATACCGAACAATGTACAACAACAAACCACAATGAGCTGTGGCCACGGCTGGACTCATCCATGGGAGAACACTGAAAATGCACAAGCGTGTGTGTTACCTCCCCAGGTATAGAGAGATGTAACAGCTGCATCCATATCAAACGTACCAATCCAAGCCGTTATGTAACAAAGTTGCTTTAACATTAATCCTGCTTCATACAGGGTCTAAGTTAGAGCAATTTAACTAAAATGTATTGCTAGAGGCTCACGCAGACATAACACAGAACAACAGCTGCTGCACGTTCCCAAGCAGTTTCCCTTTTTTAAAGCAGCTAAAACATATGCTTGTTCAGACCCTCCCCCTAAATGCTGGTCCCATGCAAAATGACAGTCCATTATTGCATGTATATTTGAAAATCTAGTTAAATACATGCAGCTGTTTTTTATTCACAAGTTTCTATTAAAAATTCTACTGAGGTCTAGTGATCACTGAATATTAAGTGCATATTAAGTGCACAAATTATACTTTTCCAGGGTAAAAGATTATACAAAAAATGGCTTAACTTATGCAGAGTTCCTTTCCCACATCCCTACTTTCAAGGCTGATGCAACTGAGAACTAACTAAAGAATTATTATACTTTCAACCAAGATTAAAATATGATAAAATTTAGATGCTATTTTTAAGTAGTAAGAGCCTTGACAAATGAACATATAAATGTGAGTACTTCTCAACACTGTAACCAAGTTTGAAAAACACTGCTTAGTTTAATAAAGTAATATGGTATTGTTCAAACTGCACAGAAACACGTATAGCATTGTACAGCCTGGTGCCTTTAACTTCTTTCACTACTGAAGTCAGTGACAGGGAGGAGGGTCTCCCCATGGCCGGATGCCAAGCCCAGAACTGCCGGTGGCATGCCTGGAAGTGCTAGTTGCACTTCTTGGGTGGTGGGGGGAAACCAGCGCTCCATCTGTCTCCCCTGCCCGTCGCCTAAGCCAAGAGCACTCGCGGGGGCACCCCCTATGTGTCGCCACCACCTGCCCGTGACAAAGCCATGCTGGCTGTCACCCAGAATCCTACCTTCTGCAAGCCTATCGCACAGACTCCTTAATGAATTTTTCCAGGATTTTCCCTGGGATAGAAGTTAGACTAACTGGCCTATAGTTACCCAGGTCCTCCCTCTTCCCCTTTTTGAAGATGGGCACAACATTGGCCCTCTTCCAGTCCTCAGGGACCTCCCTGGAGCACCACAAGTTTTGGAAGAGTTTTGCCAGGGGTTCCGCGATGACTTCAGCCAGCTCCTTCAGCAGTCTCAGTTGGAGTTCATCCAGTCCTGCTGCTTTACATAGGTCTTATTTTTTTAATTG